CGAATGGATTACTTTCAACTACTCCAAGATGCCTACACCTCAAAAGTATATCGCTCTCCAAACACATTCGTTGCACCCTCCGGCTACATTTACTCCGTTAATCCGAAGCCGGAGTAAACGAAAATACGCGTAATTCGCGACACGGGGAGAAAGAGAGAAAAGATCGGAGACGGGGGACGAAGAAATGGCATCGAAACCAAGCAGGCAGTGCATTCGAGGGTCGACGGATTTTTTTTCCCATTTATTTAACGAACCCCATCGCGCGCTCGTATGGACTCGGAAGGGAGTCTTGGTGTGGATTACGAGGATGTGGCACTTTTCAGCGATAGGAAAAAAAGTGTGTCGCATTAATTAAAAGGGACACTGCTGCTGTCGTCGTTGCCGTCGTCGTCGAACGCAATTACGAGCGCTGCGCTGCACGTCGATTTATATCCGCTTCCTGCTTCCTGCACCAACCTATTTTTTTCTCTCTTTTTTTCGCGCCTGTATCCTGCATCCCCATCTTTTCAATCTTTTCTTTCTTGCTCGGCGACGTAGCATTGCACCGCGAAGAACGAACCCTCGATAATTATTCGAAACAGATGATATCAAAATTTTAATGAAATTTACCCGGTAAGGTACCATGATATCAATTTACCCGATAAGGTACCATGATATTTTAAATACGATCTCGAATTTTCCCAAGTTGTATTACGCATGTCCTACTTCATTTATTGATTATTCAAAATATCGATTATTGCGCAATGATGGCATTTAATAATAGATAATTTATTTATATAATTTTCATTTCCCATATCGAAAGCAAGAAAATTGTATTTCAATATTAAGATGAATAGTTTTTAGAGATAAATGTGTATTATTATTTTACAAAATTTTGTCTTAATGCGGAATATAATATAAATATATGTATATATTTAACAAAACGAAAGAGAAATAACGATAAAATAAGAAATATTCGTAACTCGGTGTCGTCGGCCATGTGAAAATATAATAACTGTTTCTCTCACCGCAAGCTTTTTTTATGTTCTCTGTTAAAACGGGGGAAAAATTCAGGTCATGCGATTTTTTCTCCAAATGTATAAACTACGTGTGAAAACAGGAGAAATGCCGTAAAACGAGTGCCCCGTTCTCTTTTGTGTTCTATTAAGATCTGGCTCCATTCGCACACCACTCACGTTTTATTCCCTTTTAGGTAGCTTGTGTAATCATTCACCTAAGAAACACGCAAAATTTATTTTTTCGCCAGAATATTATCGCGTAATATTTATGTAATTTCACGTTTTTATTTATCACGTAATTTCCCATTTATAAATTTTTTAACGAAGCAAGAAAAAATTAATAGTAAAATTCCGCTTTCCGAGATTCTGATTTAGATACATATATTTATTAAATAAGCACAGTTTTTATTTACGTTAAAAAAATATTTTTTTTGTGACATTTTTAAGCGTGTATCTTCAAATGTACAAAAGTATTGTGTCGCTAAAATAGGGTACCAAGTTTATAGAGCACGACTGCAAATCTTGTTACAATTATTAACAGCGTCATGTGCAGCGGACTTAACAATTGGTGCACTGACAAATTCACGAGCAAACAGGGAACTTTTTTGCCGCGCTGTCATATGCATGCGCGTAGTTTGCAGTCCTACGATAATGCTCGGCCAATGATTTGTGCGGGTCATTAGGCACCGGTTTTCATTGGCGTGGCGCAGACAATAATATGCGGAATAATGCACGATATAATGCCCGCACTGCATTACGATTCGCGGTCCCGATTCATGCATCGCGTTCATCCTGTCGCGACGAGCGGGCAATCGTCGTAATCATTAAAATTTTATCGGTACATTGTGTTCGGATAACCTATCTTTGAATTCATTACACATCAACGAGGATACATTCGTCAGATTAATCGTCCCGTCGCGAGATTAACGCTTTCGAAAGGGCAGTTCTGATTTTCAGTAAATGCAGATTCATTGGAATGTATTTTTGCATAGCTTTATTTGCGCGCGTATTCAAGTAAAGTTAGATTCATGATATAAATCTTTTTATGCAAAATAGTCTTTTTTAAATGGAGAATTTTTTTTAATTTTCACTTGTTTCTTTTTTCGTTCGGGTTTTGATTTATTTCTTACACCCGCATATGCATTTTGTATAGGTATAAATATATAATAAATTAAGTGCACAATATGACTTTAATGAAAAAATCAACACATTTAATCATATGCACAATAGGTAATTTAAATTTGAAAATGAATGATTATAGTACTAGGATATAATGTTATGATAAAATTTAAAAATTGCAACAGCATCCAATAAAATCTCCGATACGACCGCGAATTCTGGGAAAAAATTCCCTCGATACTCGCCACATAGTGTAGAGTCGTTATTACGAAACATAGAGTTTATCACTGATGAAGTGCAATTATGTTTTTTATTGTTACACTAGCCACCTTTTTCGCTTTGCCACTATCTACGAGCTATAAATTTTTGTCCCATTTCGCACGAGCTTGCTAACCGAAAAATCGCGGATATTCGCGCGATCCGAATTACCTGACATTCACGCGACACGTCGACGTTGGAAAAAAATAAACGACAAAAATAGAAAGAGAAAACGAGAATCGCCTCACGAGCGCGAATCGAATCGTTGCTTTTTGATGGCTCGCGCCTGCGTTTCAATTATTGCGCCTGACTTGATTTATGGCTTCGCTCGCGTGTCGCATTTGAAAAGGATTATTTTTTCCCGGTCAGCGAGAATTCAGCGGCGCAAAAATTTGAGATTACATCGACGTCCTGAAAGCACTCGTTTAAAGACGAATTCGCATGCGCGTTGATCTACTCCGGAACAATCCATTGTAAATTGCAATCTGGCTCTTGGATCTTTAAAAGCATTCGTTTAATAGAAAAGCTAAACGAGTTTCTTAGGAGCAACGGTCTTTTCAAGTCTGTGCGATGCTAAATTAATACTTCAATGGATTCAACATTTAAAGTCTTTAAGAGAAATTGACGAGACGCTTGGTGCTAAGTTACTTAGACGGTTCTGAAATTACGACGAGACTTCTTATTATGAAGTATTCTTATTATGAAGTATCTTGTGTTTCGAATATTGTATCTTATATTTCGAATATCGTACTATATAGATATAACGTACTCTGTATTATTATCTATATAAAAAAGTTTTCTCTCCCTCGCATATATATAATAACATTTATTTGATTAATTTCAATAATATTATTATATACTATTAGAATTATATATTAATTCAGCTGCATTTATATTTAATAATTGCTTTCTAATTGTTAATGCAATTTATTAATATATGATTATACACTTGTTAATTATTTGCGAATTTGTAGCTCGTCGGATTTAATATAGAGATTCATATAGAGATTCGTATGTGCTTGCATCAAACATAATTAATAAATGTCAGTTTTTTTTAGAGAGTTTTATTTTTGTATTTTTTAATACGTAACATACAATACTACATATTCTCAACAGATATCAAAATTTAATATCGCGTTATGTCAACGTTTGATTAATATGCGAATTAACCTGCATTATTTCCTACGAAAAGATAAATTACGATCAGAGCTTCTAAGGGGCTAAAGTTGCGGCAAAATGCAAATAAAAGACGAACGGAAAATTTTACGAGGCACAAGATTTACGACTGACTTCTCTACTATTTTCTTTTTTCTTTTTTTTTTTCAGTCTGTGCATAAAACTTTCTCAGTAAATCCACATCTGGCAGTGGCCGATCGCAGTAACGGCAAAGTCGCGAGACGTCTTTTTGCCATCAAAGGGATTTTTTTGTTACTAAAACAAATGTTCCATAATGTTAAATGCCATAAACCTCTATTCTTTCAATTTTAATATTTTTTTATTTTTTTATCTTTAGTAATTTTAACATTTTTTGTCTTTATAAAAGATAGATATGAAAACGACTCATTAATATCTAGTAGACGTAGCAAACATCCCATTGAGTAAACCATTGAATATTTAAAGTAAAATAACTAAATCATAGACTGACTCTTGTAGATTGTCTATAAATAGATAATGATGTATTTATACTTTGTAGCGCGAATTATTTGGTATTTGTCGTTAAGTATTAAGATTGTTAACCGGAATACGCAATAAAATATACACATTAATCATTCTATAATAAATGCGTCTACCAATATTAAATTAATGGATAATAATTTTTAGAATTGTTTATAATTGATTTATTACTGAGGAAATTTTATGAGAACCCTTTTACGAGAACCATATGTAACGTTAATTTAACGCTTCTCCGGTGCATCACATTCGACTATGCGGCGTGGAATTTCATTTCGGTGACGACGAGCCCGAAGAGGAAAAAAGGGCCTGAGCGCGGAATACAAACAGGAAGGTTTTAGGCACTAACCCATTTTTCGGCCAGGAGAAAAATGGGCCTCGGTATGAGCCGCTCTCGACGCAATTTATAGTCATACATTGCCTACAGTTTCATAGTACAGATGCACCATGAGAAATGTTTTAGCCGGAGGCAAAAAATCTGCGACTAATATCGAGGACTTCTGCCCGGGTGGACCAGATGAAATTTTCTCACAAATATGATAGTTATGTCACTGTGAAATTAATGGGTTATAGTCGAAAAAGTTAATATTTGATATAAGGAAAGGATATTATCAGGTTGCATAAATTTACAGAGTTTTAATAAATTTCGAGTATAATGAAGATGCAATAAAATATACAAATATAAAACACGCAGTGTACATTAAAATGAAGAGGAAAAAATTAAACGTTAATTGTTTGTAAAATAAAAGAGAGAATGAACGGGGAGTTGAAGAAGAATTTTAAATTACATCATCAATTCATATATATGTATTTCAATTTTTTATTATATATAAATTCTTCTAAGATTATATAAATTAAAAATATACAGAGATTACAAAAAAGATATAGTGCATAATTTCCATTTTTGAATCTAGAAATATGCTGAATTAATTGAAGATAGTTTCGTGCAATAAAGTACAAAGAATATATCTTAAAAAAGATGTAATACATCATCATCATCAAAAAATTTCACGATACATTCTCCAAGGAAATAAAAGAAAGGTAGCAAAAGTGCAGCGGACAAACCGAACGCACAATACCTTGATCCTTCCCACAGGATCCCGAGTCAGTATCGTTAGTCCCGCCGTTGCATCACACATCGTCCATAGATCGAACCGACTGGCACATCCATCCCTACTCCATCCGTGGCACATCTCCCTCCGGGGTCCACAAATGCACCCTTACGCCCGCGACTTCTTTCTCGAACTGTGCGAGAACCTACGCGGATGACGTCACTCGGCGCACGATTGGCCGAGCCGATGTTCACGTGACCGCCCGCCTGGCCAGTGTCTGGAGGGTTGCTGAGGGACAGAAGGAGACGCGCGCGACAAGGCGAGTAGGGAGAAGTGCGAGAGTGCGACAAAGAGAAGGAGAGAGACAGACGTAGATAGGGGTAAATAGAGCAATAGAGTAAGAAGAAAGAACAAGGGAGAAAAATAAAAAGAAAAAGACATAAAAAAATCTCAAGAGATGAAGAAGAAAAAGCATATGACGCAAGGAATGAGATAGATAGAAAGAGCATAAGAGCGTAGGAGGGAAAGAGACGGGAGATGAATGCTGGGGGATTCATCGACGGAGCGACAGGGAAAGAGAAGCAGGGGCGCGCACGCAGGGGTGGCCGAGTGACGCGAGAGAGAGGGCGCTGGAGGGTGAAAGAGAACCGGCTGGTAGAGGGGATCGCGGTGCGCGTGAACGGGAGTGGAAGGGGGTGATCGTGAGTCTCGCCAGTCACACTGCGACGACCGCGACGCCCCAACGTCTCGGGGTGGCATTTGTCCGCTCGTGACCTCGAAAGGCCTCGTCGTAATAATCATTTCTGACACGGCCGACGTTTCCCGCGAACTTTTGAGCTTGATAACTTCCGATAAGATGAGGTAGACAGAGAAAGAAATAGCTAGAAGAGAGAGAGATAGAGAGAGAGAGACGATTGTCGCGACCGAAGTGACATCATCCGATGAAGAAGAAGTAAAGTACGTCGGTGATTGCATTTCTCGCGTCACATACAGTAATGCGTCGTTCGATCTAAAACTCGAAATCCCGGTTATTTTTCGGAAAATTGTCCCCTCCGAACCGCGCTCGTTCACGAGAGAATGAGCTAATCGCGCGCGCGGAGGTGGCTCAGGTGCGAGATCTCTTTCGCTCTCCCGGGTTATAGAGAGATATAACGAGTACGCGCACGGTGGGTGCCGTCGAAGACACTTTTATAGTTGTGTAGAACGCGGCCACGATGGTGCTCCACGGAGTGAATCGTAAGTTACATATGTCCCCCGTCGTCGTCTCCTTCTTGAGCACGTTCCACGACTTTACGGAGCGACCGATACGTCACTCGTATTGAACGCGTCTTCGAGATACATAGTCTTAATACTCTATCTTGAGATATTATCGATTGACTTTAATATATAGTTGATTCTCGAATATACAACCATACATCTGAGTTTCACAATTTTTGTCAAATTATCGTGATTGAAGTTGATAGATTTAATTAGAGATATCTCGAATAATTATTTTTATTTTATATCTCATGTCACTAATTTATACAGTTTGTGTCGGCCATAAGTGGAACGTGCTCCAGAACGTCCCCTTCCTTCTTTCTACATTCTCCAATATATGTTTAGATTAACTAGAAGACAGTAGTGCCCTCCTTATCCAATTAGTTGCACTTATGTTGATAATACACAAAATTAGAAGTCAGTTTTTCGACGAAAATTATGCCTCTTATTTAAATTATGCCTCTTCTCATTGTTAGCAGATGGCTGAACAAATGCCATAATAAAAATTGGTCTCATATTTTTCCTCGGACTCTAATACATTGCTACAATAGCATCTTAATTTTTATCTATACAATATAATTAACTGTTTTAACCGCTCAGTAAAATTAATCATGTCGGCAGATACATATTTAATTTTGTATTTTGGCAAAAAATCTGTTTTCAATGTCAGTTTCATTCTTCACGCATACCATAATCAAGTAGAAACGCACGATAAAATGCGCGAAAAACTTTAATTGCGTAACCGACAATAGTTGAAAGCATAACTCATTGTACGCGTTGGATTACGCGAAATTAGAACAATCTACGAATTAACAAGATATATCTGGCGAATAGTGAAAAGGATTTATTTGCATTCCGAGTTTCATTCCGCATCGTGACGCTTTGCATCGATTTGCGAGACTCGGGATTTGTTTATTCTATATTTTCACATCTGAAGGATAAATTGGAAAAAATAAATTGTTAAAAAAACTTAGGCGTACACAAATTTATTGTTGCTTTATTTCTAAAATTTTATATTTTTTAAAAATAATTTTGTATCGTTGTTTTAAAACCAATTATTAATAATTTATTTTTGAACTTGACTCGAGTAACTCGGATTATAAGAATGTTCAAAGGAGAGGACTTATAATTATTAGCGTCTTATCTCACACAACATCGCATGAGTAACTTCGATCGATGATGACTAAGAGCCAGAGGCAGCCGGGCATAATTGCTCGGTGGCTAATTGGAATTGGAAACTAAACGAAAGATAGCGTCGTTACTGTTCACCGTGACGCAGTTTGAATTTGGCATAATAATATATCAAAGCGGGAGAATGTAAAATCGTGAGAGAAGGTTTTTTTTGCGTAATTGTGCACGATCGATTGCGATAGATTAGCGATGGCGGGTCAAGTACGCGGCGTGAATAATGAGAAGGGCGAAATCACAATCCGCGATCAATAAGAATTGCTAATACACGATGCGGTCGAAAGCCAATAAAAAAATGTATGATGAGTAGAAGCGTCTACATCGACGAGAACATACGATCGTGTCTAATTTCGAGATCAAATCATAGATTTGCTTCGTTTTACTTCGAGAACAATAAAAAAACGTTCCTGAAAGAGATGAAAAATAAATATCATTTGTCGAAATGTCAAATTGATCAAAGTTGTAAAATTTGTATCGCAAAGAGAGCACAAGAAATTTTTGCCTTACACCCTACTTTCTGTGTTATTTAAAAGATCGAGAGGCAGGGTTGACCGATATAGAGACGCCGGATCGTTGCTCGGACTCGATTATACGAAATCAGTGCAACGTGACAGAGTAGGTGGGCGAATACGCTGTTCGAATAGTAAAAAGGACGAAATCGGAACTCGCAATGTATGTCGCGTTCGCGTGTTTTCCGCATGTGCGCGATTTGGTCGGGAATCGATTAAATCTTTACGGCCGACGATGTGACCTCTATGTACCGCGGACACGTATCTCGGCGCTTAAACACGCGTGTTCGCTTGTCCGGTTAATGATAATAAATATCGCCGCACTGCCGCGTGTGTCATTTTAAAGAGAACGGCTCGGTGATTGAATATATAACGTAACGTCACCCGATGGTGCTCTAAATATTAATTCGCGTTTGGTATAAATCGTCGCGTATTGCATAATCATGCGTCCGGAATAATGATACGTGTAAATTGCACGATTTCGGGATTTCGACAAATTAATATAGAATTAAAATTATTTAATCATCTGTAATCTTGATCGAAAATGATATAAATTTCAAGTGAGGGAGAATTGTGCAATCATATATATAAATTCTCCAAAAATTGTTATTCTTCTAGGTTAATTAAAATAATCTTTTTTTTACGCAAAATATTATTTTCATTACTAACTTTTAACTTTACTCGATAACATTTTATTATGCAAAAAGATAATGCAATAATAATAACATAAAATAATAATAGAAAAATCAATATCCATATTTTCTCAGAATTCTCGTATTAAATAAAACGTTCAGTCGATAATAATTTGAAATATTTTCCATCGGTTTTTTTTTTGTACTCCAAGTTTCATTGAAATAATTTTCGACTTCTCGCCATTAATAGAACAATGCGTCTCTTCTATCCTAATCTTCAAGCAGCCATACGTGCCACGGCGGGTCCATTAAAAAACGATAACCATTAAAAATCTCCGAGGTAACGCGGGGATTCACCCTCGTAACCACTACTCCTTTCTTTCGGAATGGCGATTGTCGGTTTCCCGTCGCACGAATATCCAAGGGAAGAGAGAGAAAAAGATGGACTGATAGAAAAAAGAGATGGCGAGCTCTCTCCAGCACAGTGTGGAAAAGACGAGGGTTTGGCCGCAGAGATGGTGAGGTCGGATCGCATTTTATGGTCCGCAATTATCGGCGGGGTTGGGCCGAGGGTGTCTGGGATAGCGAATTTTCTCGCGGCCCGAGAGCTCCCATCGACTCGTAAAACTCGCATATATCGCGTTGCAACGATGATGGTGCGCCATTCGATGCATTAGCTAATTGTTGCGTCGATATTGGTCGCCATTTTGTCCAATTTATTCGTCATTTCCGGCGATACGTCATCGAGCCTCGAGTCGATCTTGCTCGTTCGTGCGAAAAAGGCGATCGTAAAACGTTACCGGAATTGTGCACAATGCGTTTCTAAAGTACAGCGCGATTCTCGATTGATAATAAAATTAATATGCTAAATATTATTTTTCAACTAATAATGTATGATGTTGGAGAGATGGGGAATAAACATATCTTTGTATCTGCCCGTAACGATTTTCGATATTTAATGGCGCGTAAAAATGTATATTTGGACTTGGCGGGGATAAGAGACATATTATTATCTCAAAATTAAACATTTCCCGAAAGGCAGCAATTTTTTGCAATGACGCTACTTTCCCATTAATTTTTGATTGCAATTAATTATACAATTATACTCTCCTGCCTCTGGTTTTTAGTCATCATCCGTTATCGGGTTTATCGATGATCGAGATTATTTATATGGGATATATTGCAACGAATGTTTTACAAATAAAAAATGTTAATTGTAATTGACCCTTTTGTAAATGTCAGAATATGTTTTATTAAAATCCTCCATGTTATTTGCTATACTTAATGTAAATGAAAAAAAGTCGTGTTATAAATGCGCTTATTTTTATGACTACTATTTCGCAAATCTCACATTCGTGAAAATAGCATTGCTGCAACAGCAATTTCGTGCATTAGCTAATTGTCACTTGGAAGCTAAACCGATTTATCCAATTCGTTCGTCACTTCCGACTAACATGAGCTTTTCAATCCGCCGACGACCGCCCGATGGTACCTCGACACGAATTGCCTCGCGACCGGAAATCGATGCCGATGAATTCTCATCGGCATTTGCTAGATGATTGGCGTTATCTGGCGAATTTACGTACGCCTAAACGGATCTCTCGATTCGCTGACGACACCATCGCGAAAATGACACAATCACGATTAATCTGCCAGTAGCATCTCTTTTTTTATTATTTATTTTTATCGTTCATTATTTTTACATCATCATCGATATCGACGGACGGCGGGTGTATCGACAAGCGAGTGTCATTCACGCAAGAAATGACTTCGGTGGCTTTTTCGAACGACGCATCGTCATGGTAACGCGAACAAAAGAGAAGGATAATAAAATATAGAACAAATATAGAACAACGTGGACTTTCACATCGAGGTGATAACGTAACCTAGCTAAAGGTGGGTTCTCGCTATTATATGTGCGGATACGTTACGCGATAATACACTGTACAAGATTAAATATTTCGCAACCGACGCTAACAAGCTTACGCGTAAAGAAAATCGAAACATGTGTCTCAATCGGATATAAGTTTTCTCATGATATGTACAAGAGAACGTAAATTTTATTACATGTTTCATTCTGAGAGAAACAGTCTTAAATAATCGTTGCAAAGGATTACAATTTAAAAATGTGCGCATGCCTCTTTAACATATAATATTTCGCATTTTTAATTATGAAAAATAACAATTTTTCCATGTATGTGTTACAACTTTTTGACTCTTTAAAATGCATTCAAATTTAAACCACTTTGCATGTAAACTAAAACAACACCAAAACGTATCACACGCATGTTTGTTTAGAAATGAATCTTTGTTGATAATCAAAGCTTGTCATTCTGTCAATCCAGTCACGTATTTGGCTGTGCTTTCGTTGAAAAGCCGCTGTAAACGGGCTCAAAAAGCCGTTCCGGAGACTCCTTATAAAACGCAATTACACGAGGTTTAGTCGAGTTTCGACGTACTTAATTAACCTGAAGGTTAGAAAGATCGTTGCCCGACTGGCCATTGGCTGTTGCCCGACTTTGCTGCAACATTGCCATTCTGATGACGAGATGCTTTTCAGTCAACGCGGCACAACAGTAATGAGCTCGGCATGTGGCTGACATAGTCCGCCTTGGTGAATTATGCCTTATCAACGCAGCCAGAATTTAAT